AAAGCTTTCAGGAGGTGGGGCAGAACAACCAGGAAGCTCCTCTTCTATTAGTCATCCTCCTTAACTCCTTGGAGGATGGCTCTTTCAGAAAGGCCTCCAAAGCTGATTTTATGGGCCAGGCAGGTGCCTATGGGAGCAAGCAGTTCTTCAAGTATCCCGGTCCCAAAGCTGTTTTGGGCTGTATATGTTGAAACAGCACTTTAAATTGGACCCAGAGCAGAACTGGTAACCAGTGAAGATGGTATCATATTGGAGTTACAGGGTCATGCAGTCCTGCTTGCACTAGTGATGCTGCCCTGCTCTGTCCCAGTTGAAGTGTCCAGACCATCTTCAAGGGCAGCCCCCACAGAGTGCATTAGAATAGTCCAGTGAAGAGTATACCAGAGCATGGGTGATAATGGCTAATCTCTGCCTATCCAGGTAAAGCTGGGTGTCATCAGTGAACTGATCCACCTCTGAACAACCTCCCCCAGTGGTTTCATGTATATGTTAAAAAGCATGGGGGACAGCATGGAGCCCTGAGGAACCCCATAGCATAATCATCATGGGACAGAGCAACTGTCCCCCAGCACCACTATCTGGACACGCTTGGTCAGGTAGGAGCAGAACCACTGTAGCACAGCGCCTCCAGCTCCCAACTCAGCCAGTCTATCCAGAAGGACACCATGGCTGATGATGTCGAAAGCTGCTGAAAAGTCCAGTAGAACCAACAGGAACACACACCCAATCCCTCTCCCAACAATTAGTAAGCATATGGAAGGCTTAGTAAGCCTGCTGAAAAAAGAATCAATGTGGCTTCCACAAAAGTAAGTCCTGGCTCACTAAATGTTTAGCATTCATATGGACTGGGGGGATCTTGTAGACATGCCTTCACAAAAGTCTTATAAGCAAATTTAGCCATCATAAAATAAAAGGAGTCAAATTATGAAATAATAATTGTTTAAAGATCAGAAAGCAGAGACCCAGGAGCAAAGGGTAATTTCTCCCAATAAAGGGATGTAAACAGTGGGATTCCACAGGGAACTGCATTGGGACCAGTGCTTTTCAACTACTTCATAAACAGCCTGAAATCACGAGCGAGCGGTCAACTGGCTAAGTTTGCTCAATGTAACACCAAATTAATTCAAGTGGTTAAAACCAAATGGGATTGTGAGACACTCCATAGGGATCTCTTCAAGCTGGAAAAAGGTGCATCAAGATGGCAAATGCAGTTCAGTCTTGGCTCCAGCCTAAAAAACACTCCAAGTTCAAGTATAAACTGATGGGATCTGAGCTAGTACTGACTGACCAAAGAAGAAATCTTGAAAGTGATGGTGGAAAGTTTAATGAATATGTTTAACAGAATAATATGTGGCTAGCATAAAAATGTAAACAGATACACTTCATATTAGGATTAGTTAGGAAGAGAACTGAAAATAAAACTGCCAATATCATACTTAAAACCTTTTAATTGTTATTTTAAAAATTAGTATTTTTACCATTTACAGTCACTTTTCTTTATTTGGTTTTGATTGTATTTATTTTTCTGGTTCTGATAATTCTATTGTATTGTCCGATTGATTGTTTTATGGTTTTGCTTTTGATTATGTAAGATGTCCTGAGACATGATAGTGAAGGACGGCATACAAATGTTTTAAATAAATAAATAAATAGTTGCCCTTATATTAATTTATTTCATTTTTATACTGCCCAATAGCTGAGGCTTTGTCTATATAAATAAATCTGTGGTGTGACCAGTTAGAATGTTGTGGTTGTTTCTGAACTGCACATTTAAAAGGATATTGTAGATTTGAAAACAGTGCAGAAAAGGACAAATAGTAACTGCTGGAACTCCTCTTCATGGAATGATTACAACAGCTGTGATTGCTGAGCTTAGGAAAATGGCAAGTAAGAGGCGACAGTATAGAGATGTATGCCTGGTGTGCAAAAAGTGGATAGGGAAACATAATTCCCCTCTCTTGTAATGCTAGAACTTGGTCCCATCCCATGAAGCTGTTTGGTGGCAGGCTCAGGACAGATTCAAGAAAGTCCCTCACACAGTGCATCACTGATTATGTTCCCTACCATGAAATGTCACTGTGGCCACCAATTTGTATTGCTCTAAGAGGTAATTCAATAATTCATGGATGAAAAAGCTCATCAATGGCTACTAGTCCTGATGACTCTACACTATCTCCAGTATCAGAGGCAGTATGCCTATGTACACCAGTTGCTGGAGAATATGAGCAGGAGGGTGGTGCTGTACTCATATCCACCTTTATCATCATTTGATAAAGATACTCAACATAGTGAATGTGTGAAATGTTTATTGTGGCTTAAAAGTGAAGTAAGCAAAATTTTTCACTTGTTGGCTATATTCACCCCCTTTGCAGTGACATGTCTGAATAAAATCTGGTGCAAAACATTGCTTCCAGAAGTAAAATACTGTAAGTAGCTGACTGGATTCCACCTCTGTGCAATTTCACAGGATTTCAGATCAAATACACCTGTTTCTAGAAGGGCCAGAGGTTCTTGGAAAACATGTCCAAACGAACAGCTTCAGGAAGACTAAGTAGAAAACAAAATGATTCCAGGATAAAGTTGTGCAGAAGCACCAATTAAGGTGGTTCTTAAAAAATATCCTAAACAACAAACATCCTCCAGAGCATCATTAAATTCATTATTACAAAATAGAAAGGATATGGTTCAACCACAACTGTTTACAGAAGGCCATCCACCAAAACCCAGTGACAAGGTAATGGGCATTCATCCGAAAAACAACCCAGGTGAGGCCAGTGGTAATCTTAAAAGAGCTGGAGAGATCTGCAGCTGAAGTGAGAGAAACTGTCCATTGGAATCTATCACCCAGACATTCCACAAAGCTGGGTTTTAGGAAGAGGAGCAAGAAAACCATTGCTGAAATAATCCCTTACCGAACTTTGGAGTTTGCAAAAAGGCTTATGGGAGATACAGTAAACATATGGAAAAAGCTTCTCTGGTGTGATGAGACCAAAACAGAGCTTTCTGTCCTAGCTGCAAAATGCTGATGTTGGGCAAAGCTCATTACCCTGTGAACACCATCCCTAAGCTGATGCATCATGTGGTGGGAGTACTTTTCCTTTGCAGGGACTGAAAAACTGGTCAGGATTGAAGGGAAAGCAGATGGAGCCAAATACAGAGCAATTCCAAAGGAAAACCTGTTTGTTACCAAAGGACCTGGGACTTGAGGGAGCAGGAAAGTGACTGCACACTGCCAAACACTAGGGTGGTTTAAAAGCAAGAACCTGACTGTCTTAACCCAGTCAAATTCAACTGAGAATCTATGGCAAGACATGAAATGTACTGTTCACCAATGGTCTTCATCCAACATGACCAAGCTGAAAGACTTACACAGTTAAGATTTTGCAGCTGGAATTGCTGACAAAGGTGCTTTTACCACATATTGATTGGTGTGTGAATGCTTATATTGAGCAACAAGTGTCAGTTTTTGTTTACTTTTGTGCCACTATATACTTTGTTCTGTCAGTGTAGCGCATCAGCTGGCATTGGTAACCGTTCCAATAAATGCATTTCAATTCTCAGTTGAAACACAGTAAAACATGGAAAAGGCAAATGGGGAGTGAATGCTTCTGTAAGTCTATGTATTGGCCAGTTTTAGTTATAACAAGCCATGTTGAAATCCATGGTGGCATGGCCTGTCATATCTGAACCCATCAACCATGGCAAGGTGCAGTCATGAAACCATGCAAAAAAGCCATAGTCACTTCACCATGCCTTTTCATATTTGAACCCAGAACCATGCTTCTTCCATAAAGCTCTCTGCAGAATGCCCACGGCTTCAGCAGTTACTCCGATCTACTCTTGTGGCTATCCAGGTCTGCCTAGCAACTCCTGACTTGTAGCCTGCAGCACTCCGACTGGCCACTCTGTACTATTTCCTGCACTGCCAGCTGCGGCTTTGGAATTTTGGTGGCAGTGGGACATGGTACCACATTGCCTCCAGCTGTGACTGTGCAGACAGCCATACCTGGCACTCTTGTCTGGTCACTGGTTTGTTTGAGCAGCACCAGGAAACTGCCTACCATGTGCTCCACTCATGCAGCCAGTGTTCTCTTCTTGCAAAGGTTGCCTACACAAAAGCAGCATGCAGGCTCCGCACAGGGATCTCCAACTGGGTGCTTCACTCTGAAAAGCCTGTGTTTCCCACTGTCTGCTTCTTGCAGCTCTTTCCCCGACAGTCCTTGGGATTGCTAACAAACCCTGCTGCGTTCTTCCCCTGCCACAGCCGTACAACAGTCTAAAGAGCCAGCTGGAACTCTCCTAGGCAGTTGCCCACATGTCCCTCAGGAAGGTTCAGAGCTCTGGCCATGGGCAGTACAGAAACGTAATTAAATAATTACGTCCTCCGTGTGCAGGGAGAGGTAGCATGTGCAAGTCATAGAATCACAGTAGATTTGGAAGGGGCAATAAGGCCATCAGGTTGAACCCCTGCTCAGTGCCAGACTCCAAATTAAACCGTCCCTGCACAGAGGAGCATGGACACCTGTGCAGTAGAGGAGGAAAGAGGTGGGTATCTGGGGGTGCTTGTATGTTGGAAAAAAGCAAGACAACAGCAGGACAGGCTATTCTAGAGGAACAATGTTACCCTGATTGCTCAGTTGCTTTGCTGAGCAGCAGAGGGAAAACATGCTGGGGCCCCCCCAGCAAGCGATGCAGGCAGGAGCAGTGCACCTTGGGATGTTCAGCTGTGTGGGCTGGTGGAATACCAGCCACCATTAGGAGGAAAGTCAGAGGAGGGTAGAATCCATACACCTGACTGAACCCAGGATCCAAGGAATGGCCCTGCTAGGTTTAAATGCCTGACCTGGTTTAGCACTGTGTGTGAACACAGCCTAGACAGTCATGATACACTGAGATGTAGACATTCATTATCTTGCACAAGCTAGTCAAATCAACCTTCAAGATGTTTCTGCAACAACATGGCCACGTTTGTGTAACTTATTAAAGAATGACTCAACACATATAACTAAAGAGAATTTATTGAATTCTTTGATGACTTGTGGAGAAAAACAGAGAAGGACATACACAACAACTGGTAATGCTGATGGAAGCAATCATGGGGGCTTGCTGAACAAAAATAAACTGTCTAAACAAAGAGAAGTATTAAACTAATTATTTTATTGTTAAAAATCTGAACTGAAAAATTCCCTCAAAATTCTAACAGACTCAGTCCCATATACAGACTAACGAATGAACTGGAGGACTACAATACAAAATTGTCACTACAGAATGCTGTACAGACCTGTAGTCTAACCCTTCTTTAAAGCCCTGTTAACCATGCTGTCTTATTTGCTTGCTTGCTGAGCTTGTCTGCGGAGGAGGACATAGATCTTCTCCTTTATCCAGTCTTTATTGTAGGGCTGGTATGTCTGAGTATCAGCACGATAACTGGCAGAGAGGGAAAGAAACAGGTCACTTAAGGTTGTATAGCTTTATTATGCATTCCTTCAAAGCAATTTCAGAAATCCAATAAGGTTCAACATCTTGGGACAGAAGCAGAACCCAAATTTCTTAAACAGTGGGATGCTGGATCATTCTGTGCCAGGAATCAGATAATTTCCAGCTGTTCTGAAATAGGCCCCACCAATGTCCTTATGATTAATTCACTCTTGATGGTATACTATGGAAGGGGCAGTACCAGAACCACTATTTTGATATCGACACGCATAAAAAGAAAACATTGTGTTCCAAGTGTGCCCTCTGGTGGCTTAGAAAAATCGAAAACATTTCTGAATGCCCAGAATTCACCTAAGGTTTCTGATCTAACACTGTGATGAGCACAAGATGCTGGAAAGTGTACAGCAGCATGTCATTAAATGACTGCCTATTAGAAGAGTGGGCACTGATCCGGAGAGAGGGGGGGGAGGGGGGGAGAGAGAGAGAATCCTGATTCAAGTCCAGATGTGGCACTGAAACTGCTTGTCAGCTGAAATGAACGAACCCTGAAGGGAGAGTAACAAAGGGAGGACAACCAGATCTCCATGGGCAACTATGACATTATTATGGACTGCCTGTGCAGCACAGGGTTAGGGGACAATTTTTCAATGGTTCTGCTCCAGCATAGTGGGTGAATTCCAGAAGGTGGGGACTATAGTGTAAGTTTTATTTCACAGTATCTATTTCCTCTAACTCCCATGCTGTTTTAAGAGCTATAAAATAAAGCCACTGAATGCAGTTGCATGGAAGTTTCCAGTAAGGTGCCATCAGTATGTTAACATTATCTCACTCTTTCTCCTTTACATCAGAATCAGAGAAGGGAAAGGAAGTGGTAAACTGGCACCTGGAAACAGTAATGAGCTGGATGAAGGTTAAGTAAGAGATTGCAGCTTAATTCAGAGAAGATGTGTCTAATTACTGTTATTCAGTAGCTCAGCTGAAGTAAATCTGTATCAGCCCTGGACTGGGCAGCACTCCTCCATAATGAGCACGTTTATAATTTTGGAGTGCTGTTAAATCCAACCCTGATGTTCCTGCTGTACTCAAAGCATCACTTTCACCAGCTCAGCTTGCTTTACCAACAGTGACAATTCCTAGAGACAGCTTTGCCAAGGTTATCTGTGGTCTAGTAATGTCCAGGATAGATTATGTTAATTTGTTGTAGAAGAGGCTGCCCCTGAAGAGTTTTTGGAAATATCAGTTCATCCAGAACACCCTGAGTATTTACTACACACCCCAATATACAATTCATATCTGCACTGTTTTCAATGTATTCCTGGGCTTGAATCAAGGTGCTGATTTTGAATTTAAAAACTCTTAACGCACAGGGACTAGACATTGAAGGAATGCCTTCTCCTTTATGAACCAAAGGAATATATTACGATTTCTTCTTTTTCTTTCTAATGTTACTTGTTATGCTTCACTCTCTTGGCCCAGCTTTACACTCCCAAAGACCAAATTAGTAAACACAAAGAAAATACCCATGACTTTCTATCCACTGTGCTACTTTCTCATTCTGTCTTAACTCCATGGACTTAAGGACTATGGAATACGCTCCCCAAAGAGGTTCGCCTGGTGCCGTCACTTTATTCTTTTCAGTGCCAGGCTAAAACCTTTTTATTTTCTCAATATTTTAAGGTTTGAGAGTTATTTTAATATGGGTTTTATTGTCAGAAATTAAGATGCTGTGTTTTATTTTTTTGTCTGTTAAACCATCCGAAGACTATAGTAAGGGGCAGTCTAAAAAAAAAAAATTAAATAAATATTGGCCCAACTCTAACAGCACATAAACACGAAATAATAACAATCCAATCTAATCTACATTTTTGCACATGCAACTTTAGCCCAAGAAACTAAAAGTCCAGAACTTACAAATCCAGGACTTTAGGCAGAACAGAGACTGAAACTGAAATGAGTGTTCATGTTTGATTATTAGGCAAGTTCATTTTTATGAGATTGTAACTGCAGGTTTTGTACTTTTATGAATGTTTTTAATTCTAGCTGTGATTTTTCAAAGTGAGATAAATACTGGATATTTTATTTATGTCTTCTATAGACAAAAATCTATTAAAAACCTACTCAATTTTATGCAACCTATTTTTTGTTCACTTCCAATTTATTGTGCTGTTCCCCCACATCATTTCATGGACGTGAACTCTGTTCCAGTTTTGGAACAAAAGTCAGAATCCAAGTTAGCATACTGGAAATTCCCCGCAACTATTCTTTAAGCCACCACTGCCATGCACCATTCCTTCCTTCTCAACTGGATATAAATTGGGGGAAAAAAACCTGCTAGCCATGCAAATAGGATAAATAGACAGCAACATCTCATTTAACCTTTTGACTGAAAGTAATATTTAATTTAGTAAATATTAATATTTACTAATATCCTATAGGGTAATAAGATTTGGAAGTTACTATATTAATTATTCTATATTTACTATAGAATTTTATTTAAGCACAACTTTAAAAATGAATTTATTAATTTATATCCCTCCTTTCTCTTATAAAGAACACAAAGTGGCTTACTTAATTCTCCTCCTCCTGCTCTCAATCTTAGCCTCATTACAACAGCCCTGTGCGGCAGGTTGAACAGAGCAGACATACTTGGTTACAGGAACATTTAACAGATGTACTGCCACAGAAACCTTTCATGAGACTCTGGCTTTGAAAGAAGTTAAAATTCCTGAAGGATCCAATCTATGGACCATTTTCAGTGCCAGATTCCAACTGACCTCAGCTATACATAGTTTTTCAATTGGCTCCGTAAGTCATGTGAGTGATCCTTATGGTTTTAAAGCATTGTATGTGCCAAATATAATCCAATTCATGCTTTGGGCTCCTAGCAAGGAACTAAAATTTTGACAGCTGATCAATACTGACATGTAATTGCTCCCAAACTGCAGCAATGTTCATCCAAAGCTTTGGACTGCTCAATTTGAAAGCTCAATATTAGGCTTCATAATCAGTCTATTCAAGTACTAGTTCTACAACAGCTAATGATTTTTAAGAGTTACAAAATGTATTCTACATGTAAAGGAAGTTTTATTAGAGAATTTTTGTCCCTTTCAAAATCATGTTGCATTCTAAGTAACACAATGTAGATGTGTATTTTACAAATAAAACATACAGGCCATCTGTAGTTGTCAAAAGAAATAGTGTTGTTTATCAAAATATTCAATGTTCATTGCATATATAGAAACTGTAACATATATTCATATGCTAGAAGAGGTAAGTTTGCAGAAGATATGCTAAAATACTTACACAAGACAGCTGAGGTCAGCCAAATCATCAATGAAATCAAACAACTGGCTAATATCATATGTGATTGAAGGACTGTTAGGATTCATTCTCTTCAGGTGTTCTTCATACATTTTACAAACTCCTGAGAAGACATTGTTCAGCACTTATATTAGAAACTCACAGGGCCCCAGCTTGCTACTTAATACTTAGATGTCAAGAAATGTATGAGAACAAGAAATCAGCATGAAAACAAGTTTATGTTAAAAGATTAGCTCAAGTATAGCAGATTTTATATGGATAAATAGGCAGACATGGCATTAGAAGTCTTCATCATTCTAAACAAGCATTAAACAAAACTTGGATGACTGATCTAAAGATTTTAGATTCTTAGCTCTAAAAGTCTACAGATATTTAAAGGAAATGCTATTAGTCCTCTAGCAATTTGTCAGTGATGTGTATTCCATAGACTTATACATTAGCCTGGCAAAAGCCAAAAGCCAGACTCTCACAATGTGAAAAAGTAATGCCCAGTCTAGGCTGTACTATGCTTGGTACTGTATCACTCCCCACTGCCGTATGACTGCAGACAGTATGAGGAGAGCACTGAGTTGAACACCACTAGCAATTCGTCCAGTACTTTGTTTGGCTTCTGCACAGGACACATGATGTACATATCAACCTATTTTACTGGCATTTTTTCTCCTTCTCTAGTCTGTGTTTTGAGGCCACTTCTATTGTGCTTGCAATTCCCACACACTACATGCAAGACATGAATATTCCAACCTAGTGGGAATTCTGATCAGTGTTGCAACTCCCCCCCCCACCCACCACCACACCTTCTTTTCCACACCCATCTTTCTTTCCTCCTGCTCTCATTCCCTCCTCCTTCCTCACACTGATTTTCATGGGACTTACAAGCAGAAAGCGGGGAGGGGCTTTGCATCTATTTTCAGTGTGCACCTCAAAAACATGCAGCCGTGAATAACCATGTAATTTGTTTTTAACTAGTCTGCACAGCGAGTAATGATGGCTATATACTGCCTCCTCTATTTTAGGCAGTTTGTCTGTATATACCAGTTGCTGGAGTCATGTGCATCAGTTGCTGGGGCTGCCTAGAGAGGTGGTGGGATCTCCCACACTAGAGACATTCAAAAAGAAACTGGACGGCCATCTGAGTGGGATGGTGTAACTTGATGTCCTACAACAGCAGGGGGTTGGACCCGATGGCCTTCATGGTCCCTTCCAACACTATCCTCCATGATTCTATGTGAGTATACTCTGGTACTTATTTCCCACAGGTGGCTACTTAGCCACTGGATGAACAGAATGCTGGACTATAGATGGATCTTTGATCTGATTCAGCAAGGCTGGTATGCACTTGTGCACTGGGCTTGAAAGGCACACCCTAAAAATAGCACCATAACCTCCCTAACTTCTTCCCTCTCCATCTCTCTCTTCCTTCTCCATTTTTAATAATTATTTTTCTCTGTGTACCTGGAAAGCTGTGCAGCTGTCAATAACCATGTTCCTGCACAGCATCAAAGGTTTACATGAAGTTAGTCTAAAAAAAGCAAACTGAAACAACAACCTGATCTTCCATTTTCCTACAATTATACTGAATCTTGCAACATGTGTTCAGGCTATAAGCACAAATGGTAAAACAGACCATCTATTATGAATAAGTTCCACCTATTTATCCTGCAGTTACAATATCATGTGTTTGGAGTGGTGCTCAATCATGTAATAAGAACTGGATACTCTGCTATACTCATTAGGGCATTCACCCAAGCAGCCATCACATTTTGAAAAAAAATATCAGCACAGAAATTTCTCATAAATAAAGACATTCTAGTGTACAACCTCTCACCATGTATAAATACAGGCAGTACAGCTAAGAAGAGGGCAAAAACTCAGGATTTTTACTGGGTTGGTATTTTCCCCAAGGACTTGCCCAAGATAAGAGGGGAGTGAAATTTAATATTTGGAGCCAAATAAGCTGAAACATCTCCATTCGAACAGTGGTATTTACCTTCCATGCACTCATTCACAGATTCATAATCAGCATAAGTCCTGCCTTCTGGTCGTTTGGTAGGCTGAACAAGCAAAATTGTGTGAGACTGTACAAAAAGAAAGATATTATCTGGATTTTTAAATATACTATAAAAAAGCATGCTGACTTGTTTCCAACAAAAATTATAGAAGACATGTAAAACAGAAAAATTAAAGAGTCCTCAGTACTCAATCTTATGCCATCTTTCATAACGGCAGAAGATTTTTATAATGTCTGGGAAATCTCCACATTTGTTCTGAAGGTCATGAAATCTGTAGCTATTTCCCTGCCAAAAATATATGTATTTTCTAGACAATTAAAGAAATCTTAGATGTTGCAGAATGGGCTGGAATGGTGCCTCATTCACTCCATTTTTTGCACTAGCTGGAGATTGGAGAACCATCCTAAAGCTGGAAGGCATTGGGAAGTATCAGTCCAGTGCTTAAAAACCAGATGATTATCTTGCTAAGAAGATCTGCAGCCTGCCCATTTTTGGTGCACTTACCTTTGCAGTCACCACTATCCCTTGGATTAACAGCATGCTTCAATTGACAGCTGTCAACAGTTTGCAACATTCCTGTATGTAGTCACCTTATTGTTTTACTCTGTGTAAGCTTTAGCTGGTCAGGCAAGACTGCTCATATTTGAAAAGCAATTGAGTGCACCTGTGCAACTCTGCTTTTTACAGGGATAGGTCTATCAAAGACATTTGCACATGTTTTGGGGCATGGGAAAAAGTGACCCTGTTTGGAATCTGAGAATCTTTGGAAAATTAAGAGGGTTCATGATCAGAGCAGACGAACAGAGGTTGTGGTCAGAACAAGGGCAGGGAAGAAAAGGCAAACTGTACCATACAGGACATTAAGATACTGGCTGGGGGACCAAGGGAGAAGGTGGGGAAAACAACCAAAAAAGAAACAGCAAAGCAACCTCCACTCTCCCCCAAAAGACACTCCATACACAAAACACACATAGGTAAAGAGATAATGAAATAGTACTGTAAATGAAAATATGAATAGGGACAGAGAAGACCAAAACCCCAAAGTAACGGAAAGTCAGCAGTTTTAAGCAGCTGATTGAAAATTATATGAAGATCCCTATGGTATTTCAACAAGTAGATTACTCTATATCACTCACTGAAAACAATCATAAGATACTTTCAGCAGTGCTACCAGTATTGCTTTACAAATAGATGTAATATTTTTACTGCACCTAGCTTATTTTGCATTTTGATTTATCCCGAGTTTTACATCGTATATCCCTATTTGTAAGCTACCTTGATTTTTTTAAAATTCAAAATCAGAAGGTAAAAGTTAGAAGCGAAGAGTTTAGGTAAACAAATAAGAACGCCATATAATCAATCTCTACTTTCATACACCAGGTTGAGGCCCGCCTTCCTTTTGGTCTTGGAAGCTCCATGGGGACGATGGGGCCTAAAGAGGTGCATCCTAAGGACTGCACACTTTTTTGTTATTTGTTTAGTCGCAAAGTCGTGCCCGACCCATCAGGACCCCATGGACACCATCCTTCCAGGCTCTGTTGCTCCCACCATCCCCCGGAGACCACCCAAGCCCACAGCCACCGCTCCAGTGACCCCATCTAGCCACCTTAACCTCTGCCGTCTGCAGACTGCACAGTAGGATACATCAAACCAATTTTGAAACGCGAGTAGTCTTTCCTCGAACTAGGAATTTAGGGCATCTTTCGAAGAAGCGGGAGAGAAAAGGATATAGAAGTGCTGTCCTCCTTTAAAAGTAACATGCGCTTTCGAGGAGGAGGCGTGGGGGGGGTTAATTTAGGCAAGCAAAAGACTAACTGCTCCGCCATAACCAGCTTAGGCCCAAAGCACTACAAAGAGGAAACGGAGGCCAGCACATGGAGCGCCTCACCCTTGTTCCGCACACCCAGCCCCACTTTCACGCCTCAGCCTAAAAGAAAAGAAAGCGCAAACGCTCCTCTCTTAACTCACCATGGCGACTCGTTTTACTGGGCTCAGGCGCGAAGCACAAACTCTCAACGACTTCTGTACCACAATGCACCGCGGCGACCGGAAACAGTTCACCTAGCTCAACGTGCCCTCCAAGCCCATCGGCACCTTTTTTCAGAATCATAGAGATACCACGGCTTTCATTCAACGAAATCTGGAATCTAGAGCGGCAAAAATATTCATCTCGCGAGAGTGCTCCTCAGCGCGTGAGCAATATTTCACGCAGGAGACGGAAAGGCCGTGATAACTCAGAGACTTGCGCGGTAGCGGCCATCTTTGGTGAGGGCTCCTTCATTCTGTAATAACGAGAAACGACCCCGCTCCTCTTCACGGCAAGAACCCATAGCCTCAGGGACATTACTTCGCTCGTCTCTCGCTGTCTGCCATCTTACAATTGGGCGGGAAAGAAAGGAACGCGTGAAGCAAGAGTTCGTTTCATCGGCCAGGTGTCCCGGAAGTTGAGTGAGGGAACAGGAAGTGAGGGAAGAGTTGCCACTTGGCTTTCACGGCCACAGCTGGGGCCGGGCTTATGAGGATGGCGCGATGCACGGGAAAATAGACCGTTCTCTTCCCGCGTCGTGTAACCATAATCAGTGCCTGCCTAAGCAGTTGGGTGATGAGGGCTTAGTTCTCCTGTCTTTCCTCGCTCTTCTTCTACGCTACAGAAGTGGCGGGCGAGGGGAGTTACTCGGGGCTGGGTTGTGAAGCGGCGGAAAGACGAGGCGGTCCGTTTGTTCCTCATTCCTGTGTGGGCCGGGTTCGGGCCTCTTGAGGCTTTCCTCTAGACGAGTGCCTGCAGGGGACGGCACCCTTTGTGGTGTCTCCTGAGATTCAGAGTTTCTTGGCAGCCAAAAAAGTGAATCCGAGGTGCTGTGGGTAGTACTGAGGCGGCGGGACGGCCTCTGGCTGTGGAGAGGAGGTGTCGCCTGCCCACCTGCTGCTTTACGCAGCCCCCCTTGGCCCATGACGTTTTCTGCCTCTTTGGAGCCGTGAAGGCGAATTCCCTGTGAAGTGGGGCGCCCCAGTTAACACGAAGCAGAAGTCGGCCATGGATGACTTCTTGTCGATCAGTCTGCTCTCTCTAGCCATGCTGGTTGGCTGCTATGTGGCAGGAATCATCCCTTTAGCCGTAAACTTTTCCGAGGTAAGAAGACGTCCGCTTTTCTAAACGTAGATGTATAGAAGTTAAAAAGCTGCACAAAGCTTGTTGGGGGCGAGTGGGAGTGAGGCAATAAAGAGATTTTGAAGAGGGCATGTTACCTGATGAATGCCAAGAACATTTGGATAAGGACGGGGGGGACACTAAATCAAGACTTATTAGAAATAAACTCCACATCTCAGTTCTCAGCTCTTAGTATCAGAATTTCAATGCAGTTCAAGAAACGGAAACATTAAGAATTACTTAAAAACAAATATGGGTGGTTTGAGTTTGTGTGCTCCTTCTGCCATATTGTCAGTCATATTCAACTGCAAACTTCATAAATCTCTGTCAGGTCCAGTTTTTGTGGCATCGAATGTTAGTGAAGTAGTAGTTTTAAAGTTTGTTGAAACACATCCAAGAAATGTTTTGCCTGCTCCAAACCTCTGAAAATTAGTGGTCTTTATTCTAAAACTGTTGGTTTTACTTTTCATACCAGGTAATCATTACATTATGCTCTAAACTGGTAATTTGAACAAGGAATATTGTTACAAATTTGGCTTTTACTATTTTCAGCAAATACACTGGAACTGTAGTTCCAGTATTTAGGCTGTCAGCTACTCATAACCAATAATACAATTTAATCATATTATACTTGAAAACTTGTTTTAGGTGAACTCAGTTTGTTTTGTACTGACAAGAATGAGTAAAGGAAAAATCTTTTTTATTTTTAAAGTATTTATTAGTCCTGTATCATCACATCAAAATGTAATTTGCATAAAATCACATACAAACTTTTATTGTCATACTACTAGTCCTAAAAAAGGAGATATATCACCGTAAGTACTAAGTTCTTTGTTCAATATTTAATAGGCTATTCAGCTGATTTGGTACACAGGTTTCTAATGAAGTTTAAACACCCAAAGTTTTCTAGACATTTGTATTCAAGCTTTTGGAGGCATATATATCTTAATGATAAATATTATTCATTAATTGTTAAACAAAAATGTTAAGCACTTTTAGTTGGAATAAAACAGGTGAGGGCTACTCAAACAACTTTTTGCCCCAAGCAGTGGGATTTCAGCTTAACATTTTCAGTATCGTCCGAGCCAGCTTGATCAATATTTTTAATGGGAGTTACCCAGAATTCATTGCAAACCTGTCTCTTATTAATTCAATTACTTTGATTTATTTATATTTTCAAATTGTTAAATTCCCAATGCAGTATATGCAGCAATAAGTATTTGATAAATAAAATATAGCTTTCAGATTTGAAGGAGGAAATAGTTTTAAGATATACTGAATAATAAATGCAAAATAAAAACAGGTGACTTCGTATATTGATGCCCATCTTATGTATTTAAATCCTACATCTGGAAGAGGAAATGATCAGTTAATGTACATATCTCCACAGAGTTAGCATATTTAAATACAGGAAGCATGTGTGCTAAATATCATTTTATGAAGGGCCCAATCCTGTGGTCTCCTCATTGTCCAGAAGGCTATAGCTTTATCTGGAGGCTTAGTTCTGGCATCCTCCAACCACAGAACTGGGATTCTGAACGCACAGTCCTCACAGCTGGTACATAAAGAAATGCATCACCTGCCACTGAAAAGGTCATAGGTTGGTCTCAGAGGGCTAAAGGGGTGTGCCGGGGAGAAGCTGGGGTACCCCTCCAAAAGGCACCCCAGCCTCCTTTCCTTCCCCTCGCTTCTAATGAGGGGCAGAGCCATCAAGATGAATGCAATTGTGAGGTGTGCTGCAGTAGAAAGGACAGGTGCTGTGCCCTTTCTACACTGGATGCACCTAAGCCTTTGTGTTTGGAGGCTTAAGAACATAAGAAATGCCATGCTGGATCATACCATTTAGTCCACATGGTGGCAAACCAGCTGCCCACAGGATTGTTCGAATGGGATAAGTACAAGACCTGCACCCATCCAAGCTCCTCAGCAGCTGGTCTATGCAGGCATGCCACCTCTGGTAAAGGAGCTACCACATAGCCAGCAAGACTAGTAGCCACTGATAGCTGCCGCCTCCATGAATCTGTCCATGCTTCTGTGCATCAAGTGCAGAGGACATTAGATCACACCGTGAGAGTGCAACTCTATACATGTATACCCAGTAGTAAATCCTAATGAATTCAATGGCACTCATTCCCAGGTAAGTATGTATAGGATTGCAGCTGAAATGAGATTTCCCTGGTAAGTATAAAGTACTTTATGTGAATGTGAAGATTCTTTTTAAAATATCCTGATATTTTTAGTACTGGTTTAGAGCAAATAGTTTCAGTAGGCAACCTTTAGTTCTATACATTTTGTGGTATATAGTTAAACTTTATACAAATATTTTGCAAGCTCACAAAAACTTCTCAAAATTCTGCATGTACCCATATGCTATAAAGGTTGACAAATAGTTCACCTGGATGACTTGATTTTTTCTGAGTGACTGGCTGGGTTAAAAGGCTAGCTTGTTCTGTTTCATTGAGCTGTCAGCTTAGAGGAAATCCATGTTTTCTTTGTCTAAGAGGTTTAGGATATTTTTTCAAAGCAGAAACTGCTACAGGAATTGAGAAATATTTAGTGAATCTTCCAGTTCCCAACATGCAATTATGTCATGCAGTGCTTTTTTTGTAAAAAAAAAAAAAAAAAAAGGGGGTGCCGGAACTCACCTTTTGGGGTCAGTCACTCTACACACACATAAACATAATGGTTACTGCTGGCAGTAAGCACTGAGCGCGCAACCACACGACCGATCCCAAGCTGAGCAGCATCCCGAGCCGAAGAGCGCCCTCCCAAGCAGCGCCGACACACATGCAGCCCGTAGGCACTATTTTAATGCTTTTTGCTGCCAACCTGCTACTTGATTCACAATCACATAGAAAAATCTGTCAAAAAAAGGTGCCGGAACACCGTTCCGGTGCGTTCTATGACAAAAAAAGCCCTGATGTCATGAACAGGTTTCTCAGCAACAGATGGTGTGCACTCAGAATGGGTTTAAATCAAGGTGACTTAAATCACCAAAATAAACAGATTTAAGTTATGGATTCCTGCATTCTGTGAATAAGCATATGTGCCAGCTGTTTGCAATAACAATTGCAACATATTGCTCCATTAACTGCAACATTTTCAGTTAATTTAACAGTTCTGTTTGTGAACTGGTAGATCTACTACCACTTTCCCAGCCTGCTGGCTTACTAGAGCCAGGGCCATTGGTGTCAGGGCAGGGTTCATTGAATGTACACACAACCCTTTTTAATCATTCATCCCTTGGTTCTAATGGGGATTTCTGCCAGCTTCAGACTGTCATAGAGGGGCCCAGTCCTAGGTCAAAGGGCTTGCTTTTCTCCAAGGCAGCCTTTCCCACCCGCAGAAATTCCCTTTGTACTGCAAGCAATACTTTAATACCTATGGAACTTTACTTTAGTCACACCAAGGTTGCTTGGACCACATGCAGTTCACCTTGGCTGCTGGGGTTAGGGTGGCTCTGCCTGTAATATTTAGGAGTACAGTGGTACCTCAGCTCATGAACGCCTCAGTTCACAACCAAATCGGGTCGCAAACAGAAATCTCAGCGAAAAATTACCTCAGTTCACTAACTCAGCATTGGGTGACGACCATGATTGCGCCTGTCTTCCCCCCACCCCCAGCACGATCGCACCTGTCTCCCCTGCATGAGCGCACCCGCGATCACACCTGTCCCGTTCCCCCCCCACACACACACACACTATCACTATCGCATGATTATGGTTTGGACTCTCCCTCCAAACAATAACCTTCCCCCCACCTAGGTTAGTGTTCTCTACTGTTACTTTGTTCTTTGTTACTTTGTTTCAAATTTTTGTGATTAAAAAAAAACCCAGAACGGATTAACCTTATTTACATTGAACCTTATTGGGAAATTTGACTGCATCATGACCAATTTGGGTCACGACCAGAGTCCTGGAATGGATTAGGTTCGTGAGCCAAGGTACCACTGTATAATAAAAATGTGGCTGTATAGCCCACATGTATCTGCCTAGAGTAAAGAGACTGATGTGTTTGGCTTCTCTGTAAGCTGCCCCGAGAGTCATCCTGGCTAGTGGGCAGGGTAGAAATTAAATAAATACCAATTCTGTACATATAAAAGCATATGAAATCTCTTAACAAAAGGCTAGTGCTGTGCACTCTATGTCTGCATAGAACTGGCTGGCAGCAGCACTTGTGTATGTGTGAGTTAGGGCAATGATCCAGGATACACCCTGGTTACCCATACAGGGTAGGATTGCTCATGTCAGAGTCAAGTCTGACATGATAAACACAAACCAGGAATTACAATTGTACTACTTTATCTGGGGTCAGATTTTTCCCCATAGTTCTATTTTACGTAGATCTGGTTTCATGTACCAGCAACCCATCAGTTTAACGAGTGGTTATTCATGAACAGCTGAGAACACAAGCACTGCCTGCAGAATGCCTGCTGCTTCTGCTTTTACTCAGTGATTCATGATCCGTTCCTTGTACATTGTGGAAAATGATATCTAAAGCAGGACTGCTGGGTTTTTCAGAAGCTATAACCAATGCATAGTTAACCAAGTTAACTCCAGTTCAAACACATTTAAATATTAATTCCTTCAGATTGTTTTATTTTTGTGAAGAAGGATCTGGATTTCTTCTTTCTATCTTTGGGTCTTCTCTTGCCATCCTCACCATGTCAATCTTCTCTAGCTTCATTCTGGTGATAGCCAGGAATTGTCCCTATAATTTTTCTGAGCTTCAGAGGGCTCAAGTGCAATGAAAGGAAACCACTATGACCCCCTCTGCAGTTCCAGCCCAGGGAACCGGGTTAGCTGTTTTGGTGGTAGACCAGTGAAGAATCTGGAGCACCTTGACTAGCCACCACTAAGCACCAGAATTCCGTGCCAGTTCTGACAGTAAAGGTTGTGGCTGGCTGTTTTGCAAGTAGGTGACCAAAACATTTAGAGTAGCTTTGGTAGCTTCTCTCCTCTCTTAGCTTCAAAAGATTGCCTCAATGACTAGTTAAGAATTCTGACTTCATTTACTATTGGCTTATTTAGATTTGAGCAAACGATATTTATCTCCAAGTGTTGATCCCTATGAAATATTAATTATTCTGAGTTTTACTTGCAGGAAAGGTTGAAGCTAGTCACAGTTCTTGGTGCTGGGCTTCTTTGTGGAACTGCGTTGGCTGTCATTGTGCCTGAAGGAGTTCATGCACTTTATGAAGAAATTTTGGAAGGTAAGAAAATGGCATTATTGTTAGAGTGCAAAGCATTGCAAATAATTAAAGCTGACCTTTTGCTGAAACCTTAATGAAAGAGATTCTTTGTAAGTTTTATTACAGACCACAGGATCTTTGAATTTCAGCAGTTGTAAGACAGTTTTGAAGTTTTATATTTTCACTTAGTTAAAATGCTCTGATGGCTTAAAGACCATGTCCAAAGTATAAAGAACCATGAAACTGCTTGGGTAAATCTAAGGGGGATTTGACGTGCTCTTCTTCAGCTTCCCTTTCCACATGGTAGTCTGCTTTTAAAATGAGAAGGAGCTTTCAAAAGTAATTTGTAATGCAATGTGAGGATTGAAAGATAACACATACAATTCCAAGCTGTTCTGTGGTTCTTGGGACATTTACCCAGGGAACACAGGATTCCTGTCTTAGATTATTCCAGTCTTCCTTCAAGATGTTTCCAATTTTATCCTACTAGCTACCATCTAAATTATATAATTCATGGCTGCTGTTGGGTTATTTGCAAGTTGTTTACCCCTCAAACAAGCCATGCTGCTCAGGTTTGGATGATGCAACAAGCGGTGCTCAGGCAAGTAATTATGCAACATGTGCCTGACTTAAATCACTGTGGCATGTTTAAACTGTCACTGGCTGGCCCAAGTTCACCAAGTGACCTTCAATGCTGAGTTCAGATTTGAATCTGCTTTAAGACTGGCATACCATTCTGTCTCAAGGCCCTTGAAGGAGCCTAAGCAGCATGTTGAAACTTGACCCATATATTTAGCACCAGAACAATCACCACTGTTACGGATGTTAAGGGAATTCTGTGCAGTGACCCCACACAGATTATATACTGTTACTGTATGATTCTACTATGCAAGTGCAGAATGCAATGTTGGGCAGAACTCAGCATCCAGGAAGATTTGGTTTCTTTATTTTGCTTACACTTTAGATATTAGGATTACACTGAAATTATCTTGGGAAAACCTCAAATGATTCAGAATTGCAGGGGAGGAATTAGAACATGCTTACCTCTTTGACTATCATAAGCAAAATATATTAGAAGCAAATATGTTTATTTGCAGAATATACTGATTTTAGAATGTAAATTTCCATAGGATACAATTTGAGGGATGGAAGTCTCAAATGTTTAAAAGCACAGTATATACATCTGTTTGCCTTTCTATTTTGGAGAAGTATTTACATGAAGCAAATATACAAATGGTGAAGGTTGTGAAGGACAGGACTTTGGGGGGCATTTAGTCATAGGTTGGAGATGACTTGATGGCAAGTAACAACAGCAAGTTTACACAAAGCACACTCCATGCCTGTGTTCCTTAGGCAGTTGTAGCTAACATTTTACCTAGCTGTTGAAATATATCTGTTCCTTTGAGTAGAATATGTTCTGGCATCTTACTTTAGGTAACAGTAGGATGACTTTGTGGCTATGTTTAGCTGTATTGCTGTTAAGTCAGTGGTAGAATGAGAATCTGTTTAAACATTAGCAGCCATACTTAACCAAGACGACTGTGTTACTTTTAACCTACTGAATAATTGAGCAGTTGTCATCTTTCGGTGAGTAGTTGGTGAGTTCTTCCACCTTGTCATGTGTTTACAGTATTGCAGGATCTGTGGCTTGGGATACTAGTTGTGCCAAGTAGATTATCCTGATAGGTATGCTATACTGACATTCCAGTAGTTGAAGTTTAAACAAAAGTGTTTTGGTTGTGTCTTAATAGTTTCATGTCTTTTGTTTTATGTGAGGAAATTAATGGTTGGCATGACTTGTATTTCCACTTTCAGCACAAGATTCTGTGCTAGGGACATAGATATTTGTGACTGAATGTGGGTAGATGGAATACATATCAAGACTACATGAATGAAAAGCATAGAAACATCAGTAGGAATAGCTTGGCTTTCCCAACCTGGTGTTATCCAGATATTTTGGACTACAACTTCTTTCAGTCCTAAACAGCATCACCAGAGGTCAGGATTAATGGGAGCTGTAACAAAAAAAATTTGAAGGTCACCAATTTGGGGAATGATTGGTATAACCAGATCATTTGTTCTATGACTATTTTTGGTGGTACGTTGGTTGTTTTTTAATGTTTGATGCAATGGCTTGAATTGCTTTGGATAAAGTATTGTGCATTACTTATTCAATATCCAGACAGATCAGGACTTTTTTAAAGCCACATCTACTAATTGAAGGAACAGGCAAATACCCCTTGACTTAGAGTCTCCAAAAAAAACAAAAATGTTCCACCACTTTAAGCAACCTGATGAAAATTGCCACATGTACAAGTTAAGTGCTGAGTCATTTGTACTTTTTATTCCAAGTGTATCTTGGCATATCACCCATTTCTTTCAAATTCTAGTGAAACCTACTGATTTATTCAGATTTGTCAGGGGCATTTCCTTTCATTGGTTTGTTGAAGTTCTGAGTAGTGAATCAAAAGTTATTAAAGCTTTTCTGTTACATAAAATCTGGTAGTAGTGAGTGCTGGCAAAAATTTGTCAGGTGTGCTCACTTTCACTCTGAAGCTAGAATGGTGCCAGTATTCTACTATTCTGAGGGAAATTCCAACGTCCCTGTCAGCACTCTGACAGCTGGAGAGAGGTAGGAGAGAGGTAGTGGGAAACTGTCAAATGGGATAAGGGTAAGGATGTTGCTCTCAGTGATTAATAGATCGCTACTGAGGAAGGGATATGAAAGAGGTGGCATGTTAGAATCCTGTGCAGGCTTACTAAGAAGTTAGCCTTTGAAAACATGCCAGTACTTAACCTCATTTGTAAGCAGACTCAGTTAATGATTTGTTAATGTGTTTTGTTTCATCACCCACCCACCCACCTGCCTGAATGCTGTAATGGCTTTCCTTTTTAAAAATTAGGGGGATTCAGTTGTCAGATTACTGCTGTTGAAGCAAGTGCTGCAAAACTGGAAATTGGAAGCTTGGACTGGTATCTTAGATGTGTCTGATAAGTAGTAATGCTGTTGTGCAGTATCACAATTGTGCTTGCTTGCAGGAGTGAATCAACTTACAGGAGGATTCCTCTAGCAGAACAATATGGCTTACATGCTTCATAAGGCAACACAGGAAAAGGACAACTTGGCACATTTTTGCTGGCCCCAGGAACTCCATCCTCCCCATCTGGATTTGGGCCTGAAAGACCCAGAAAAAGTATGGGTGTATGGAAGTTGTAAGCAAGCATAATGTGATATTGTACAGAATGCAGTATCGCATTCTTCAGGGGGCATTTCTGTTAAGACACCCATTTTGGCTTCCAGTTTCCTGGCTCGGTGGAGCTTGAGTCATTATGCAGTACTGACTCTGGTCTTAAACCAGTAGGCTTTTTGATTGTGGTATAGTGCAGATGAATTCTGTAGTTTACAGTTGTTGGAAAATAAATACATAAATCTTGAATTTTGAGGTCCTATACTTACTTCTCTCTTTGTTACACATTCAGCCTGTCCCCTCCCTGTTGCTGTCTCTTTTTTCATTTTTCCTAATGCCTTTTGTCAGCTGGGAAAAAAGACATACCTCAGAGAAGTGGGGAGGCAGTTGATGGTACATGTTCCATGCAGAGTATTAATGCCACTTTGCTTGGTATGTAAAGAGCACCATGTAGCTATTTCAGTGACCACCTGTAAGACAGCTGCTAGAGGGAAATTGGGTATTCTCTGCAATGCTCTTTTTAAAGTGGAAAGAGTGCTCTGATATCACTAGGGTAATCTTTCTTTACCCATGCTATAGCAACAGTGATAGAAAATGGGTGGACTGAGGCAATGCTGCTGCTTTTAGGTTCTTGGATAATTCTGCATATCCTGCATACTTTGTGGGAAAAACGGCACTCTCCTGAAAGTGGTAATTTTTAGATAATGTTTTAACAATTATATTTAATTGGGTCATTCTAATTGTTTGGATTAATTGATGACATAGATGTAGATTAACTGAGAGAGGATTGCTTTTCTTGATGGTCAATCAAAGAGCAATGCATGGCATCTGATACAAAATGTTGTACCTGGAAAATACCTGAACATGTTGAAGAATGTTTTTAATCCCCATTAAAAACAGAGGACCCCCTTTCCCCCATATCTGGTTGGTTAAGCACTGAAAAACAGAAGTTTAAATAGATGTTGCCAGGGATAGAAAGTCTATAAAAGAGGGGAGCTTGGCATGTGCCCATAAATCAGTGGAGATGTATTATTCACTTCCCTTAAGATGCTTGTTGCTGGTCTCTAGAATTTAAAAATTGCCAGAGTGCAGGCATGTGTACATTCATTGGCTTATTCTACCTATTGGTAAGCTTTTGCTTTTACTAAAATGACTGAGTTTAAAGAAAACATTTACATGCATTAAATGAGACTTTTATACTTATAATTGCTGATTTAATCAAATTACTAATCTATTTTAAATCTTTTTTCTGACAGTCTACAAAAGTTGAAGATTGAAAAGGGCAATTTTCACATATGCTAATTTTCAGTACTTAGAAGCAACAGCTATGTACATGGCAGCTAATATTTAATTTTTCCCTCTTTGACAAAAACATGTGGAAGAAGATTATTTAATTTAGTTAGCATATTTGCATTTAAAATTATCCTGGTGTACCTCTTTAATAGTGTAAAAATGCCTTGGAAAGCAAAGATTGTCTAACAATGTTGACAGTTAAAATATGTTGGAAATGCAGTGCCTGAGGCTTCTGTGAAATTCCAAACTGTCTTGCATCGTTTCCTTTAGCAAAGCATCACCCAGCCAGTGAAACTGAAAAGATGGTTGAATCTAAGAAAGTAGCAGATGTACCAGATGTGCATGACCATGTCCACAACCATGATCATTCAAGATTACATGCTTACATTGGCGTTTCCCTCGTTCTTGGCTTTGTGTTTATGCTTCTGGTAGATCAGATTGGCAGTTCTCATGTCCATCCTACAGATGGTAAGTCAACCCTGATCCTATCTTAAATAGTGAAAATGTCTTGAAATATTCAAGTATGCTCATTCTTATCACCTGTTTTAATTAAGAATTAACTGCTGTTGCTGGTTAATTACATTATTAAGACTTTGCAATAAAATGTTTGCTCAAAAATTTTCATGTTACCAGTGAAATAAATTAAAATGCATACAGGAAAAATTTTAGCTGCAGAGATTTTTTAAAAAATTGTCAATAGCTTTAAACATTAAAATACTGTCTTTGCAATTGGGAGAATTTTTTAAATGGAGTAACTAAAACAGACTAGATTGTTACTATCAAACCCAGTATGACAGTCCAGTTTTTCCCCAGATAAATCCAGTTTTAATTCATGAAGATGTAGTGATAATTGAAAATGCCACTACTGATATTTACTGAGATAGAGATGCTGTGAAACAGTGAATGAAGCAACAGAAAAATGAGACATGGTTAACTCTGTTAATCCCCCAGACAGACTTTGTCTATTGGATGGTATAGAAATAAAAATAAAGAGAGTGCTTCAAAAGGAGACAGCTCTGTGGAATATTCCACCTCCCCAGTTCTTATGACAATCTGAAATGTGAAAGAACCGGTGACCCATTAATGTGTGATAGCTTGGTTTTACTGATTGATGTGGGTGTTAATTCCTGTAATATTTCTCTTTTAGGGTTCTCTACATACTTGTTTATATCTTATTTGGTTAAGATTTCTTAATTATTTCAGACCCAGAAGCGGCAAGGTCGAGCAATTCCAAAATTACTACCACACTGGGACTAGTTGTCCATGCTGCAGGTGGGTTATTGGTTTTGGTCCATTTTTTTAAAAAAGTAAGACTAAAGGCCTTTTTTGTCATGTTCTCTGGGTTAGACTCATGCTTGCTAGGCATGACATGAACCAGTAATTAGCATTACAGATAAGGGAAAGATCTTTTTTATCATGTTTGCCATAACTTTCTTCAAGCTTACTGAACACCCTTTTGTGTTGGATAAGTGATAAGAGACAAATCTTAGGGACATGTATTTTAACAATTATATTCAGTTCAATGCTTGAGGAGCTCCAGTCCATGCATGAAACTTCCACAGAAGCAAAATGTTATGCATTTATTTTTAATTTGGGGTGTGAGGCAATTGCCAGAATAGTTCTTTGAATGGAAGGCTAAAAGCATTTTTTGCACTCTTATTCACAGTAAACCCTTTGGCTACTAAATGATATATATACTATATATAGTCACAGATTGTTTAAAATGCTCATTCTGTCCGGGCCTAAGAAACCTAATTTCCAGTGCTCGCATACACTTATGCCCTTTTCTTTCTACAGTTTTTGGAAGGCAAAGTGAGCCTTGATTATAATAATCTTGACATTTTCACCTTGTTTGTCTGAAATATGCTTAACTGAATATAGGGGATTTCTAACAGGCAGTTTAAGGGAAGAAACTAGAAACAGTTCTTAAGTGCTTCACAGCACTGGTCTTCTCAGAGCATAAAAGAGGAAGCAGAATTGTGTGTGTTAACACTCAGAAGACCGAGGTCCATTCATGATTAGAAACGGTTGCCATGGAGTTTGCTTTCAAAATCATTCTTATCAGAACTGAATCAATCATCAGGATGAGAAAGCAGATTAAGATGTGATCAGAGTGATGACTGCATTTTACATGAAAGACTTGCTACTTGTGTAAATTGGCTCTTTTGATCAATAGCTGTCCTCATGTGTGTATTTCTCCCCCCAACTGTCCAATTAAGCTGATGGTGTTGCCTTGGGTGCAGCGGCTTCCACATCTCAGACCAGTGTTCAACTAATAGTCTTTGTTGCAATTATGTTACATAAGGTAAGCTTTTATCTGTGGATGGTGTTCACTATTGGAAATCATGGATTTGAATTAGTGGTAGAAATTGTAATTTAAGAACAGTGTGACTCAGGAAATCTGTGTATTTTCTTGAAACATTCTTCATTTCTCTTTAATCTGTATAGGATAAGATACTGCATCCTACTATACATATAAGCATCTAGCATTTAGCAGTTTTCTGCTGCCCACAAATTAACTCCTCACTTTAATTAACACGTGCAGGCAAAAACCATGCAAAATGTGCTCTCTCTGACACAATTGTATAGGCCAGGGGTGGAGAGTTACCTTCTGTCTTCCTCTGGTTGCAGACATAGGATATTATATATCCTGTATATAATACATTCTTGCCAGAAATTGATAGATCACATTTGTAACGTGCAGGGGACATGATAGCTGTTTCTAGGCTGCTACCAGTAATGTGGCCAAAGAACAAGAATGATTGGGTCATATCCTCCATATTCTGGTGAAGTTGCTGTAAGGAAAGCCAGGTGTGGAAATTCTGCATTGTAATTTACAAAGTTATACTCTAGTTTTCATGTTTTAGCTTTTGTGGCAGATGAAACTGATGGGAAATGAGGAATTGTTTATTTTATTACTAATCTGTAGGTTGGGCAAGATTGCCAATGTATATGCAGCCCATTTAGGTGCCATTCATTTGCAAACAGGAGGTCCCTGAGCATCCTTCAGTTTGTGTATTTAAACTCATCAGCCTAACATGCAGCTTAATTCACCCTCCTCAGTCATTCTGCATGTGTGTGTGCACATGCACACAAAATCTGGTTGCAGCATCCTGCTTGTTGATATATGTTGAAATGAAAAGTAATAAATGATAAAGAGTTTCATAGATCTGTAGTTTGGATCTGTGGGCAGAAAGGCTTCTTCCACCATGGAAGGGTTCTGACTCAGGATAGTGTTCATCCTTGGAGAATGTGGGGAGGGCAATTTTCACTGGTTCTCTCCTGCAGCGGGACTTTATACATTTCCAAAAGGTCTGCTTTGGAGGGTTAGGGGACCTTCTGGAACAGTGTGGAAGATGGCACTGCAGGCTTTGAATGAGGGGAGAATCATCACTGGCTGGGTGAAATGCTGGATCTAAGCCAACCCCCCCCCCCCATGGATGGACAAACACACTTCTGTGTGCACATTTTTTTCCTGTGTGCACTGGTTACTCTGTGCAGCTGTCTGGTATGTTAAGGACAGAAGTGCATTTGCACACTGACAACTAGCTTGTGGAATAAATAACCACAAGTGTTGGTAACGCTGACTTTTGTCCTTGTCCTTTGGATTTTTAAAACGAGGGATTCAGCATGTTTCTAGAGCATGTCCATTATCTACTGTTAGCAGTGTTAGCTAAATAGGACTGCCATCTTCAGATTCAGTGCATCTTTGCCAGTCAGGTGCTGGGAAGCTCAAGAGCTGATCACTGCTGAAACAAAATGCTGAACTAAGTCTGACGGTGTGAAAGCTCAGAATATGGTTGCCTGCTATGTTGTCAGTAAACATGCTTTAATTTTAGGAGGTGGACTCTGCTGTCGATATGTTAAATGAAAGGGGGAAAACTAAAGTAGTGATGGATTTCTGAGAAACAGGCATGCTGAAATATATAAATACGTTAAAGCAAGCCAACTTTTCCCTTTCCCCAGTCCTTCCAGTTTTACAGTACTGTTGATACCCTACCTCACTCCAAACTTTCCATCAGAGCAGGACTGACTTTTTCCATCCAGTTTAATCACAAGCAGATCCTTCCTTTGTGCCTTTGATTTATAGGGGAAATGAGAGTGGTTTCCATAGAAAAAGAACGAATGAGAGATGGGGGGAGTGGGGAAGGTCACATCCTATTATCAGTAACTTTTGTTCAGAATGCCTTATCCTGACTTTTTAAAAATCAAAATATTGGTTGTGATAAGAAGTGCAGTAAAAATGTGGTCTTGATGGTCTTCTGGAAGTTAATAGGAACGAAAATGAATTTGGAGTGAGTTTTAGCCTTTTACATTCTAGTTAACTCTGCAGTTGAGGTGATTATGTAGATGCATGGGCTGTGATATGCCAGTAGCTTACAGAGTTGCGTGTATAATTTAAGGCAACACTGTACTGCACATATACCTGTCCCTCAGTATTACCATAAAGAGAGAAAAAACTTAAGTAGGGTATATTAGCAAGTAGCTTTTGGGCAAGATAAACATTTTGTTTCATTGAACAGAACTTGTGATTGCAACATGTACTGCAGTTCAACAAAATATCTGTAGTTGTTTTTCTTTTATAGGCACCAGCTGCTTTTGGCCTTGTCTCTTTTCTTATGCACGCCGGTCTTGAACGGAATCGTATCCGGAAGCACTTGCTGGTTTTTGCACTAGCAGCACCTGTTTTATCAATGGTGACTTACTTAGGACTAAGCCAGGTAATCCTCTTTTCAGATCTAACTGCCCCAAATTATGACTTAACAATTGGGTATTATTGTAACATCTACTAAATATTAATTAGTTGGCCCTTGTCCTAATTTTATTCAAATAATTACAAATATTACATGAAACATCTGTAAGCATGTTAGGTTTGCATTGGTGCATTTATTTAAGGAATTTAGAATCCAATTTTGCCTCCAAAAAAGAGTTGCTCAGGGTGGCCTACAAAATAGAAAAAACATTAAAAATGCCTATTAGTAAACATATTAACAACAAACTAAAAGCAGCTATGAATGCAGAGAACCAAAAACAAGGAACAATAAATAAAATTAAGCAAGTGCATGTGCAAAAAAGATTAAAATCTCTGAAAAATTAAAGTGTAATGATTTTACTTAGAACTATCTGCTTAAAAGTTTAGGTCTCTGGTGACATTTGGCTACCTGTTAATTCCCTGTAGCACAAGAATGGAGAATCCTAGGATTCTCAGGACCAAATTAAAATATGGGAAAAGTTTGAGGGGAGTGTACAGGAGGGACCAAAGGCAGACTGGATGTGGCTACTAATCATGAACTTGCTCAGTGCAAGATTTTTGTAAGTCCATTCAGATTGGACATGGCCTTTCAGGAAAAAAAATCAGAAGTAAGCATAACTGAATCACTCAGCAAGCTCCTTCCCAGGCAACCCCAGCCTCTACTGTGAAAAGCTTATTTCTGATTAGGAATTGGTTGAAGGTATCGTGAGAAATACTCCTTTCCCTGTAACAGCGCTCGGAGAAGCAATTGGCAGGCCAGCTGGGGAGCCATATCTGTCCCACTGAGCAGAAGTTCTCCATACCTGCTCTAGCAATTAAAAGCCCCTTTAAACCAAGGGTACAGTTATGATCAGTTGGGTTACCCAGGTTTTACACTATTTTGGTACAGGAAATCTTGAATCAATTTATTAATACAAATGTATTTTCTTGGAAAATATATTACAGCAACATTTAAAACCTGAATGTGCAATCCTTGGTAAGTTTAGACATAAAAAAGCTTGTAACTCTTAGCATGCCCCAATCTTCTATTTAAATTATCCTAGGAAAAAGCCTTACAACTCCCACTATGGTTCAGCCATCCATAAAAATGAAAACTTTAAATACATATTTGATCGTAAATAGAAAGCTAAGGGAGTTTTGCATTCATCAGATAAACCTTGATCCTTGATATTAAATCTTACAACTTTATCCTTCAGATATTCCCTTGATCTTGAGCAGTGGGCTTTAATGCAACATTCTCATTTTAGATATTGTCTTAAATGCCTTGGCCCTTATTGGTATCAATTACTCAGAGTTCATTATGAAGTGTATGTCTTCCCTGTTAATATCAATTTATATTTAATTCCCTATATTTCCATTTACTACTATATATAAAGATATATAGTTTGCTGCTTTAACACACATTATTTTTGCTTCTTTTATGCAGGGTGAATAATCACTTCAGTAATCATTTTAAGCACATCAGTGGCAGATGTGAACTCTCCATAGCATTTAACATTTAATGGCAAAAATCCTTAGGGAATAAGCAATAATCATGTACAAAGCTGGCTTTGTGTCTTCAGTAGAATAATTAATTGAAATATAATTGAAGATGAATTTTGTTTTTGTTTCCTTTTGCCATCTTTTTGTTTTACAGAGCAGTAAACAAGCTCTTTCAGAAGTCAACGCAACTGGAGTTGCCATGCTTTTCTCTGCTGGAACTTTCCTGTATGTTGCCACAGTGCATGTTCTCCCTGAAGTGGGTGGAATGGGACACAGCCATAAATCTGAATCTACTGGAGGCAAAGGACTCAGCCGCCTGGAGGTGGCAGCATTAGTTCTGGGCTGCTTGATTCCTCTGATTTTGTCCATTGGACACCAGCATTAAAAGTCTGAAGTCCAGCAATCTTCTCTGCAATCTGACGGGAGCAGCAATCTGATGTCAACCGTTATTTTATCATTGACTTTCTTATCTGATAACCATCCCACTGTTTTCAGGCATTGGAGGGAAGTACCATACAAAGACGAACTTCTGGAAAAGCGTTTAGCATAGGAAATGGTACCGTTGATAGCCTGATATAACTTCCTGCATAACTTCCCTATTCTGAAGATACTCTAATTATGACTTCCTGCCAGATTCTCAGGGAAGCCGGAACTTAAAAGAGATGATTTGGGAGAATTTTTCAGCTCAACATGAAATCATGATCTAAGTATTCTGTATGTTGGCATTCACAGCTGACCTCTTGACATTAGATGCTGCCTTCTAACATGTGGAACTTCTGTTATTCACTTCCAGATTTTTCATCTGGTAATGATGTCATGGGCTGTCTTGGAAGGATGCATCCAGTGAAAACATGTATTTCAGGTGAAATTCTGGGCAAGATTTGTGCTGGCTAAACAGTGATAGGTTTCTTGCATTAGGAAGCACATGTTTTTTCCCCTTTGAATAAAATGAGGAAGAATGAGGGAACCATGCTGAGTTGTTCCAAGCTCTAAGGAGTAGGTACTTAAACGAATACTGTACCAGTTCATTTTACTTCATTCTACTAAAGCAGAATACAGGAAGAAATGGCCAAGAAGAGTGAGGGGCCCAAAGCATCGTGCTCTGTAATATCAGAAACTTTAACATACACAGTTATTACAAGCTAGAAGTTTTCTAAGTTGTTGTGGGCCTGTTTGCATTTATCCCTCTCTCTGAAATCATTCAGCTGTGAGGATAAGTACAACTTTGGAATGTAGTGCCAGTCTCTGAACTCTTTCCATGTAAGAAATGCTACCTTTTGGCTAGTAAATTCCATTTTGTTATGAAAGAAAACATAAAAAACCTTGGGCAAAAGCCTATAAAAGTATATGTAGCTTTTCAGCACACAATTTTTTACATCAGTTTTAAATCTTCATTCCCATTGATAAGAATTCTTCAGTTAATACTTACAATGTCATTGTTTGCAAACAAGATAAATAGTGCTTTAACTGGTATCTCTAGCACTGGTTACTCTATGTAGCAGATGTATTTCCCTCTTTCTCTTTCTTTACAAGCCAGTGGCCCACATAACTTGGATCTCTTCCATGCTTTGCCCATATCCTATATTTACTTGACAGAAAATAATGGCTTTAGTTCTTTATGAGCATCTTTTCAATTTATTTCTATTGCTGATTTGGTATTAGTGCAGTAGTCAAAATTGAAGTTAAAATCTGTACAGAATAATGTACATGTCTTTCCTGCGGGTATTTCTAGATCTGGTCTGAAACCAGCACTCAGCAATCTACCTTTGTCGTCCACAAGTGTAGTACACCAGCTTACTAAGTGGTTGCACCAAAAGCTTGGATAGACACCTTTTTTTGTGCCTACCTTGGACTGTAAGAACAGGTGTTGCCAAATATTTGGTGGGCTACAGATATTGGTGCATTGAAAATTTTGTGGGCCTGCTTTACAGTTTTTCTAAAAGAAAACCCTTCTTTGAAAGAGGTGGAAAGATCAGCATTCTTACTGATCAGGTGGAGCTTTTTTCTGCAGCATAGAAATACCCTCTCAAAATGTAGCACAGAGAAACCATAGTAGGTAATAAATACCTGGTATGTGAATCAAAATGGCCTGGGTACTTGTCATATTCCATACTAGATGACTATAGGAAAGCTAGCAGTGGTATAATTAAAGGCCAAGTTTGCCCTGCAGTGGTAGTTAAGGCAACAAGACTGTTCCTGAATTGACCAGGAGTGAAATGGTGGCAAAATAAGAGCCAAACCTTTTATCTGAAAGTGTATAGATAAAGGAGCACATGGTGTGGGAGTTGGGATTAAACCATACTTCAAAATAATGTTTTTCTTAGTATTTTCAGCCTTTGAGAGTGCACCTCAGGAATCCTACTGTTGGGCTGATTGGTGGCTGATTGCAGTTCTTGGCCAGAAGCTGCCTAAGCCACTTCATATTTATGAAAATGTTGTCCATTGAGTCTAGCACCTTGCTTTCTAACCTTGTGCCCAGTACCCTACTGGAGAGTCTCTGCTGTGCTTCTATACTTGATTAATAAGTATCAGTATATGGTATGCATTTCACACTAAGTACTCAAAAGGGTAAGACATGGCAGGATGGCAAAGTCTTGCATGCTTGAAATATTTCCAAATGCATTCACCATTAATTGGCATTCACTCTACAGTACCACTGCCATTCTGATTTGCTTCTATGTGGTGACAAGGGAGTTTTGATGTTTCATCTCTACTTCTGATATCACAAGTGGCTAGCAACGAGAAAATAATTTTTGGATTATGGGAAACATGCTCTAGGGAGAGCACCAGATGTGTAATCCCTTTTATAGCCACGAGAATCCTAACTTTGAGACATTTTAAGCTAAGGCAAACCCAAGTTTACCATGTCCTGTTTTAAGAAACATCACTCAAAATCAGGGCTTTTGTAGTGTAGTTCTACTCTTCTATAATGTTACTAGTTGTTTCTAATCTAAGCCTCATGGTAGACTTCTGGAAGCCATTAACTACTGAAACAAGTCCTCTGCTTCAACTATTCACATCAGTTGTGGACTGAGTTGGAAGTGGAAGTCATCACTGGCAAATATGTTTGCCCATTGAATTTACCATTGCTAATCACAAAACAAAGGGACGATCTTTTGCCTAACTGTGTTAATAGTGCCAGTGGTAATGGCAGAGTAGATAAATCAAGGGCATGTAGAATCAATAGATATGAAATGGCACTTCTTGGAATTTCTGTAAATGATCTGAAACAGCAGAAAATTGCTCAGCTCTTCAGCCAGGGCTGAAGGTACATGGTGAGAACTAGATTGCATTCTTCATAGCAAGCTGTATTGGAATGGGAAAACTTGAACTTGTGTTTTGTGCTGTGTTATGTTCTTTATGATGAACCACAGGAGACTTGTGGAGAGACAGTCCTTAACATCAACATGTGGAAGCAAAGTATTCATTTCAAAAAGAAATCAGCTTTCTGTGCTTCAGTCATGTTTCTAAGCAGCTGCGACTTTCTGGCACAGTGTTCCTGGTCACAGCTGTATACCTGATTCTGTGTATTCAAGTGTAATTTTAATGTCTTTTCCAAATCATTCCATGGATGGCTGCCTTATTTTTGATTTTTTTCACTTTAATTGTGAGCAGTTTAAAAATGTTTTTATTAAAAAAAATTAGCTGCATTTCAAGAAGAATTGGCCTCATTTCTTTTGCGTGGTTGTGCTGAAGCATTTCAATAATGTATGTGGTTTTTTTTTTCTTGCAGCAGGCACTATTTGAATTTATGCATAGTTTTGATTCCTTTAAGCCTGAAATACAGATTTTATAAAATAGTTTGTTAGTCCTTGAAAAAGTGCTTAATTCATGCACATGAAAATGTATTTTAAAATATGTGAGAGAAAATGGGCTTATATGTCTATTTTAAAAGAATTAATTGAATTCAGAGTTATCTTGAGTGGAACCCCACTTGCAAGATACTCTGGAATGGTTAGGAGGTTTTGGGGAGGAGATGTCCAAGTGGAAGGAGAAATTGGCAAAAATGCCCTCCCTTTTCTCTCGGGTTCAAGTGTCTACCACATCTCAGAAATGTTCTTTTTGACTTACTCATTAATTCTGCTGGTTGGAGCTGATCATCTTAAGCATATCCAAAAAGTGGTCTCATAATAATCCCCTTTAGCTTAGTTATATTCCTAAAATCAAACTGGGAAGCAACTCAGCCACTGTGGGTAAAATTTTCAATTATTGTGATGTACCTTTGACATAGATAAACTATTACGAGCCAGCAGTGTGATGCAGTGGTTCAGAAGGCAAATACCACCCTTGGATGTTTAGTCAGAAGTGTAGCTTCCAGATCTAGGGAGATGTCAATACCACTCTCCACAACTCTGGTGCGTCTGCATCCAGTTCTGGACTTCACATTATAGGAGAGAGGTAGGTTAGAATCAATTCGGCTCAGGGTTACAAGAATGGTAGCCGGGTTGGGAGGGATGGCATATGAGGAGAGATTGAGGGAACTGGGTCTTTTCAGCCTGGAGAAGAGACTCCAAGGGGATCTTTTAACGCCTTACAGGTATGTGAGGGGATGTCATACGAAGGAGGGCCATGACCTCTTCCCTGCAGTGCAGGCAGGATGTGTTCCAATGGGGCAAAGCTCAAGGAAGCAGACTTCAGGCTGGATGTCAGGAAGTACATCCTGATGGTTAGGACTTCTAGGATATAGAAAGAGCTTCCAAGGGAGGTGGTTGAGGCCCCATCAGTGAGGATGTTCAAGGAAAGACTGGACAACCACACGTTGGGGATTACTTTGTTTCTATGTTTTGTCTTTCATGCTACATCCACAAGGTGGAGTACTTAAGAGAAAGCAGGGTTGAAGTTTTCTGGTCACACCACTGCATCATTTGCAAGAAGAGACTGGATGTATATGCCAGGGTGATCTGCAGATCAGGCTGACTAGATCTGTTTCATATTGACAAAATGCAAACTGCTATCTTCCTTATCCACTGTCTGTATAAACTTCAGCTTAGAATAGTGAAAGATCAATGCAACATTACAAACTTAAGACAACCAACACTTAGTGTGTTTTGGAGCTATACGCATTTCCTTCTTCACAGAACAGTATTGCCTGGCAGGCACATTATCTCTGCATGGGATTTTAAAAGACATGTATATTCAGGGTAGTATATTCCTGCTATGTGTACTTTATAACTGGAAACACAGCTACTGTTCCCTTTGCTGTAGCATGGAGCATTTGTAGATCAGAGGCTCTTTAAAAAGAATTGGAAGAAAGCCTTTTTGTTTAGTCTCTGTTCCCCTTACTCCTCTAGCCTGGAAGAGATAGCAAAGCACAAGAAAGAGAATAAAGGAGATATGCATATTACTTGTCTCTGAGATGCTCCCCAGGCACTGCTCAAGACTGAGAACAGCATCCTTAGCAGCTCAGTGCCGGTGTGGCATGCCAGCCTGGCATGCCAGCCTTTATACCTTGCTCAGAGGCCAGGGGACACTGGGAACAATTCCCTTTGCTGTACCCTCCCCTTGTTGAATGGGACCATGCCTGACTAGTTCCAGTGTCCTTCCACTCGGGAAATGGGACCAGTTAACTTGGATAAGGATGACCAAGAACCTCGGTACCAAAATGTTCAATGCTAGAGTTTCAGTGCTAAGCACTGCCAACCCCAGCACGGTACACACCGCCCTCATTCCTCAGCGCCAAAGAGACACAAGAACAGGCTGCCCCGGATGTGGCTGTGTTCGACCAGGACCCAACATCCTCTTCAGAGAAGAGGGGGTGCTTCTTGCAGCAGGTGTTCAGAATGGCCTTGGACCTGTGACTGGAGATCAAACAGCAAAGGGAACAGGTCACTGACCCAGTCTTCGATGCCCAGTGGTCTTCCCCTTCCCACCAGCCGTGCTCCAGATGCTAACGCAGTCTTGGAAGTCCCCTGTGGTTCAATACATCAATATATTAAGCAAGGCTGAACTGATATACCTGGTGCTGGAGAAGGTCATTGCATTCCTGTTCCAGTACCCAAGGCTGAACTCTATTGTTGAGTTGGTACAGGGGACATCACAAAGGGAGCACTCAGCCCCAGTCAATCACAAGGGACACCAACTGGATGACCTGGTGAGGCGAATCTATATAGCATTGTCTCTGGGTCTCCAGTCTCAAATTATAAGGCCTTGTGGCTCCCTACCAACTCTTCTTATGGGAGAAGATGGGTGCCATGAGCGAGTACCTCCCAGATGGCCTCTGGGATGCATCCCACCTCCTTCACACAGAAGTGTCCAAGCTGGGGAGACCCCAGGTTGCCACAGCCAGGCACATGTGGATTGCAACACTGAGAGCATGATGGGTATGGTGGCCATTTGCAGACACGCTGGACTCCCACGAGTGACAGGTTCCTGCACTGAGGACCTCCCCTTCAATGGGAAGGGTCTCGTCAATGCACAAAGAAAGAAGTAGATGGACTCTGTCCAAAAGATGTGCTCCACTGCCAGGAGGATGGGGTTCCCACAACCATTGTCCAGACCACTCTCCCACAACAACAGAGGCACTCACATGCTTACTTCCCTCACGGGCTCCAGGTGGCCTTGCAGCCAAAGAGGTTCGACTTTCCAGCATGCTTCAGGCAAGGACAAAGGAGCCCAGAGGGGAGCAAACTCCAGCTCTGACTGCCCCCAGCAGCCCCTACCACCCCTTCCCCTCACGCACCCTCTCACCTTTTGGTGCAATCAAAGGCATGCCCCCATCCCCAGCACTGCTGTCAGAGGTGGACATGTTACTCCAAGAGGGCTTTCGAAAGGGCCCACTCCAACCTGTCCGAAGGTTTTACTCTTGATATTTCACACTGCCAAAGCAGGACGGAGGATTCAGAATAAGCCTAGCCCTCAGAGGTGTCAACCAGTGTATCACCCCCAGGAAATTGAGACTGGTCACTCCACAGAGCATCCTGCGTGTACTTAACCAGTTTTGCACTGCTATGTCCAGGACGAGTGAGCAAATGGGTTGCATTACCACACGCCTATGAAATGTCATGGTAAGTTGTCCAGGAACACTGTGACAGGTCGTTATCCAATCTGATTTAGAAAAGAGTAATCAAATACCAGGCAATGACAACACAATGCTCCACACTCCAGAACTGAATATGGATTGAGTTTGAGTTATTGAAATCTGGGCTGTTACATTGTTTGAGCTCAGCTGTGCTAACAAACCATAATGAACAATCTAAGTTCACAACCCAACCACAAACCGTGGGTTCTCTTTGTGAGTTTGTTCATGGTTAACAAACCATTGCTAGCACACCTAGATTCAGGTAACATAAAGACCTGCATTGCATTGACCACCCATAGCTCCATGACAACCATTACTCAACCCTGAATGTGGGGTATGTCATCTCAATCCAGTCAGCATGTCTTTATCCACTTGCTTTCCCCAGTTCTCACCTGGAATCAGTCTTGCAACCTGGAGCTCTTACTCAGTGGAGAGAAGGTATGAATGCTGTGGGGGACAGGAAAAGTGATCAATATTCCCCTTTGCCTTGTGCTCTTGGGTGGAAGAAGACCTGGTGACTCATCATGACCTTGATGGTAAAGCCAGAGGAGAGTTTCAAAAAGGGGCAGTACTATGAAGGCTTGTGGGAATTGACTGACCCCATGTTCCCAAACAGTGCTCTTCGCTATCTGGCAGTTCATAATTTCAGCCTGGTGAAAGTGGTACTTCCAACCAGAATGTTTATAGCACTAATCATTGCTCTTCCCTGGTAGGCTGCATCAACTTCCTTTCCAGCTTTTCCCACCACTTGATTAGCTTTTTCTTAAGACAAAAGTTCATTAAGAAAGAAAAGACAGAATAATTGCACAATGCTTTCCAACTGGTAGCACTAGGAGCGGTCCATCTGGAAGCACCCCGGGTGACCTCATCTGCTGTCATGTGCCTCTAGTGCAAGGGCTGAGCCTTTTTCAGTCCAGAGGCCAGATTATTTTGGAGACTGTCCTGGGAGTGAGCAGGGCCAAAGGCAAAAGTGGAGAAACCACAATACTAGCACAGTTTAATGTACAGATTTTACTGCTGGTAACCCTGCCTTAAGGGATTTATTTCAACCTTTTAGAATGGGGGAAAATGTACTAAAGCCATTTAGTTTGGGGGCAGAGTGGGGAAGGAGATGTAGCTATATGGGGACCTCTAGAGGACTATATTTGGCCCTGCTTAGGGAAAAAGTCAATTTTGCCTCCCTGCATATACCAGGAGAGAAGCAACTGCATACTCACTGGAGCCACAGATCTGCTTCTCAGCTCTGGCCAGAATGCTGCACAGACGTGCGGGGTGACCCGCTCTGCAGTTTGAGCATCGCTCATTCCTGTGCTATTAGCAAGACTGCCTTCACGCTGAGAATGTTCACTCCGTTTTGGTGTTTCAGAAATGATCGGGAATGAGGAAGCTCTCATTGCTGCATCAGGGGGACAAATATTGACTGAGCACTGAGCAGTCCAGTTATTGATTCAAAGCGTAGCCTCTCTCTCCCCCTCTCCCTCTCCCTCTCTCTCCAGAGTTAGCAGTTGCGTCCTTCTGGTTCATTGCATTTAATCTGATTCCCTGAGCTGCAGAGCAGCAGCAGAGAATTAGATAAAAAAAAAAAATCCCTTCCCCGCTTAACAATGTTCACTTCCAAATCCAACTCTGTTTCTCCTTCACCATCCATGGAACCTGCAGATTCTGATGCCTTGGATATCAGCACCAAAGTGCAGCTGCATGGAGTGCTTTGGAAAAGACCCTTCGGAAGACCATCCGCAAAATGGTCCAAGAGGTAAGTTGCAGAATTTGCTTGCGAAGAACTGTGGTTCCAAAGCAAAGGCTTTGAGTGGGGGTTGGGGATGTGAAAGATCGAATAGGGTTCATCTTGCACGGGGAAAGCCAGAAGATCCAAGATAGACTCCGAGGGAGCTTTACGTTAGGCAGATGGGTCCAAGAATCCAGCATCATATGTATTTAGTTTTAGGGTTTTTTTTAAGGTTTACTTTTCTGGAATATGTAGGCTAATAATGTGGACGATCGAAACTAGGTGTGTAGAGAGTATCTGTATGCAGAGATCTGTGCAGTCTCTTTGCCTGCTCTCCTCTGGTGCCCTCCCAGAGGGAAGTCATGCTGAAATTGAGCCAACTCTGTAGGAGTATGTGTGGTCTCCAGAAGTCAACAGAAGACTTACATTTTGGTGCCATGTATTTTTCGTGGGGTGTGGTGCTAAGTCAAGCAGGGAGCAGCCTGGCTCGTTTTATGGAACAGCTTGGGTTGAACTGAAGCTCTGCCAAGATCTGAAGTGTTTCCTTTGCTACCTTTTTGCTGTGATGATGTATGAACTCAATGCCAAAATATTTTTGAGGGAACAGTTGATGTCACGGGCACTGTTCGGAAGAGCTGCCTTCCATGGTGTGCGGCCCTCCAAATGTGGTGCTGGGTTGCAGGTAGAAGAATTGAGCAACTATCACCTCCCTCGGTTACGCATCCCTCAAGAGCAGCTCCTGGGTCTGCCTGGAAAGCTTTGGCCTTGAGGCAGTGTAGCAGTGTCATAAATAAAAGGCAAACATGGAGTCCTGCACTGAGCAGGGGGTTGGCTCTTTCCAACTCTACTACTCTATGATTCTGTGAAACACTTCTGTTTGTAGCACTTCTGTTTGCAGAGGGACAACCCTTTGTCTGTTCGAAAATGCATACAGAGTAGCTTTAAGGCCCTTTCCAGAATAGCAGTCCTCCCCAAAAGTTTAACTTGAATACCAGACAACTTTAATTTTTGTTTCTGCATGTGTGCTTGGAGAAGCCTTGGGAGGAAAAAGGGCGACCGGGATTAATGTGAGCAAATGTGAGCAAATACACGCACTGGCTTGGTTTTAGGTGGCTGGAGCCAATGGGAGCTGTAGACTAGAGAAGCCTGGCCAGGGCACTCTCCGGTGACTGGGACTCTAGGTGGCTGGAACTGGTGGGGAAGAGGATTGCTGCTTTGAGCTTTAAGACCACCCTAACCCCAGCATGGACCCCAGGGCTGGGTGCCTGCACCTGGCCTGGCTATTCTGGCAGGCCTGCTACTGGGTGGTGGCCACTAGCAGGGGCATCTCCTAAGGGAGTAGCATCGAAGTGGGTGTGCCCCTTTGGGATGCCCCTTTGGGATGCCGCGAGGGTGAGGGTGCCTTTTGGGTTGTCCCTCACTATCCGCCTCCTTTGTGGGCCTATGCTTGGGGCCATGGCTGAGAGGGTGTCTATGGGGCCAAGTGGGGAGATGGAGGGGGTCCCAATTAGCTTAGTGAGAGGAAAAGGAGGCATGGTGCTGGGGAGACCACTGGCCCGGTCAGGGAACGTGGTTCAGGCAGCTAACGGCTGTGTCATGTTCTGGTCCTCCCCCACCCATGAGTTTGATGGTTGCCATGTCAGCCGGTCCTCAGATCTCCAGATGCAGCTTCTAAATGCCACATGAGTTCATAATAAAACGATCTAATCCAATCATGGACAAGGCAGCTGGTCTGGCATGTATTAACTGAGACCTGGATGGATGAACAGGAAGGAGCTGATCTCTCCCAGGTGTGCCCAGTCAGGTGCTTGGTTCAGCATCAGGATGGACGTGAGGCTGGGGAGGGGGAGTTGCTACAGCCTGTGGGAAGTCCATCTCTCTCTCCAGACACTCTGTCGGTCCAGCCACTAGTCTGAGTGTTTGCACCTTCTGTTGGGCCAGCAGGACAGACGGGGGAGTCTGCTGGGGTACCACCCACCCTGCAACCCATCAGTTTCCCTGCCTGAGCTGATGGAGGTGTTGCCGGATATGATGCTGGAGTCCCTCAGGCTCTTGATCCTGGAGGACTTCAGCATTCATGCTGAGAGCACCCTATCTGGGGCTGCTTGGGGTTTTGTGGTCGCCACGACAACCATGGGACTGATGCAATGCATATGGTGGGGCATACTCTAGACTTGGTCTTCTCAGGCCTATTTGAGGATGGTGCTCTGAGTGTGGGGACTTTGACTCAGTCCCTTTGTCGAGCTGTAAACTTAGGGTGGGTGGGAGACTCATTAAGAGGGTCCACCTGGAGTCTAATGAATCCGGATAGTTTCCAGAGGGCTTGGGGCTGTTTTCCAGCTGACGTGGATGGTGCACCTGTCAAAGCCCCGGTCACTCTGTGAAATATAGAAAAGAGCTGGGTGGTTGACACGATCACTCCTAAGTGCCCTCTCTCTTGTAGGGCGTTTGCAGTTCCATGATATATCCCTGAGCTGAAAGAGATGAAACAACACAGGAGAAGGCTGGAGTGCAGTGAATGCATCCGAAACCTGGTGTGAGCCCACAGCCAGGTATATTTTGAGGCAGTGAGGGCTGCACTACCTCACGGCCTCTATTCAATCCTCTCTCTTCCCTGCCCAGCAGAGCTTTTCAAGGTTGTCCGGGGTTTATTACACTCTGGCCCCAGGGACGCCTTGGAACTTTCTATAGCCTGCTGTAACCTACTTGCTAGGCACTTACTTACAGGAGGAAATCTGGTGCTTCTGCTGAAACCTGAATGCCAGAGTTACCAGCAGTTGAATCGGTGGCACTATCCAGAGCACAGCCTGGTCCAGCTTTGTTGGTGAGTTTCAGTTGGTGCAGCTCAAGGATGTTGGCAAGTGCCTGGATAGGTCCATGCAACCACCTCTGTACTGGATCCTTGCCCTTCCTGGCGTATAAATACCGGCAAGGAAGGGATAACCAGCTGGGCCAGGGAGGTCCTCAATGCCTCTTTACAAGAAGGAGCAGTCCCTTGCTGCCTTAAAGTGATGGTGAGACCACTTCTCAAGAAACTCTCCCTGACCCCCAACATTTGAACATATACAGGCTGGTAGTAAATATGCCTTTCCTGTGCAAGGTTCTAGAAAGAGTGGTTGCCAATCAACTCCAGGCACATTTGGATGAAACTGATTATCTGGATCCATTTCAGCTGAGGCTCAAGCCTGGTTTTGGCATGGAAAAACCTTGGTCACCCTGGATGATGATCTATGCCAGCAGCAAGACAGGGTGAGTGCAGCCCTGTTGGTCCTGCTGGACCTCTTGGTGGCTTCCGATGCCACTGACCCTGGTGTCCTTCTGGAGCTGCTGGCTGAGGCAGCGGTTCCCTCCTACTTGAGGGGCTGCCTCCAGAGGGTGGCGCTCCAGGAATATTGTTCTGCCCTCCAGCATAGAGTTCATCAGGGGTCTGCTCTGTCCCCAGGCTATTTAACATTTATGTGGAACAGCTGAGTGGGGTCATCTGGAGTGCGTCGCCATCAGTAGGCTGATGACACACAGCTCTGTTTCTCCTTTTCATCATCAGCAGGGAGGAGTATCTGGTCACAATAATGGACTGGATGAGGGCTAACAAACTAATCTCCAAGCGAGGCTGTGAGATGCTCTTGGTAGGTGATTCCTTTGACCAGATTTAGGGGAGGGGGTGTTCAACCTGTTCTAGACAGGGCCACACTCCCCCTGAAGGAGCAGGTTCATAGCCTGGGGGTGCTCTTTGGTCCATCTGTGTCACTTGAGGCACAGGGGGCATTCATTAGGCTTTGAGTGCCTTCGACCAGCTTTGGCTGGGGCCCAGCTGTGCTCCTACTTGGACAGGGATAGCCTGGTTTCAGTGATCTATGGTCTCGTAATCTCTGGATTAGATTACTGCAATGCACTCTGTGTAGGGCTGCCCTTGAAGACAGTTCAGAAGCTGCAGCTGGTGCAGAATGCAGCAGCAAGATTAATAACTGGCACCTGGAAGCCTGAACATATTAGACCAGATCTGGCCTGCCTGCACTGGCTGCCTGTAAGCTTCTGGTCCCAGGTCAAGGTGCTGGCCCTAACCTATACAGCCCTACGTGGTCAGAGTGCCTCTCCCAACCCCAATCTGCCTGGACACTATGCTCAACCTCTGGAGCCTTCCTCCAGGTACCAACCTCTCCAGAGGCTTGGAGAGCGCAACTAAGGGGAGGACCTTCTCTGTGGTGGCTCCCCACCTTTGGAACAACCTCCCTGCTGCAGCCCACCGGGAGCCAAATTGGGCATCTTCTCAGTGCCAGATTAAGGCAGTCTTCTTTGCAGAGACCTTTAAAGACCTCCCTGGTCATTCAAGGGCCTGACACAATTAGCTAGGCACCTTTTTAAATTCTTGACCAGATCTTTTAAATTCTATTGTTTTTAATGCTTTTATGCTATTTTAAATTAATTCTTGTTATTTTTATCTATTATATTTTATTGCTTTTACATGTTGTTGTAAACCACCCGGAGAACTTAGGCTACGGGCAGTGTAGAAATAAATAAGAAGGCTATTTCAAGAGCATCTGGGGGGGGGGGGGAGGTCTCCCTCTCCTGGGTTAAGCCAAGAGGCTTGTAGTTCCATTGCAGAGAGCTTACTTTGCACAGAGAATCCCCCACGCTCAACTCTTGCTATATTCTGGCAGCGCTAGGAAAGACTCCTGCCTGAAACCCTGGAAAGCTGCTCCCTCTCAGTGGAGAGAGTGCTGAGATAAAAGGGCCAAAGGCCTGGCTTGATATATGGCAGCTTCCTGCTTTATGGAAAATGTGGGCTTGACTCGGGCAAGAGAGGTGATGCCTTCACCATACTTTGCAAGATGGTTCTAGTCAAAAAGGGCAGCCAGGAGAGAGATTGGAGGGAGGGGCAGAAGTCCAAGGCTGCTGGCCCTCTGAGGTTCTCTGGTGGTCATGCCCTCTGCCTCCAGCTCCACAGCATTCCCTCTCCTCAACCACCAAATGTTTGGTGGTTTCCCAGTATTTCCACATTTTCCCCCTCCAATCAACAAGGTTGAAAC